AAAAAAGGGAAAGGGGGGGGGGGGGGGGGGGGCTGAGGTCGTTCCTGACGATAACTGAAAGAAAAATCGACAGCTTTAAAATATATGGAACTACTTTCAAAACAGCGCTTTGTCCACGACTCCTGGCTACAAGGCTGAGCTCCTGCATCATGACTGCCTGGCCTGTGTGAAGATCCCCCCCCCCACACACACACATTCTTTCACAGTTCCTGACTCACGTCTTTCATCGATATATATATATATATATATATATATGGATGTGCAGTCACTCACTACAACAATCAAAAAAGATCTTGCTGACCTTTAGTCACTTACTATAACAATCAACAGATCTTGCAGAGCTATCGTCAATATAACAATCATAACAGATCGTGCAAATCTTTAGTCGCTATCTATAACAATCACGACAGATCTTGCAGATCTTACACATTATTTAATCCTAATAATATCGCCAAACAAATGATTGTTTGTTTTTTTTCATTTACATTGACAAACGTGAACAAACACGAAGTCTACGCGTCTCAACGTGAGGACCTTTTGACCTAGTTCGATCATATTTTATCTCCCCCTCCTCCTTTCTCCAATCACTCACAGCAACCGCGTGGATGCCTGCCTCTCTTGGCTCGAATATCTATGATTATTGTTGCTGTTGGCCATTAATTTAGGCTGCAGTCCCTTGCCTTCATCAGTCAGCGGAGGTATTATTTCCCTTTCTCTCCCCACTTGTGCATCTCTCACCGTGTAAACGGTCGTCGGTCATCAAAGAGCACATTTCTCTGTGCTTTCACAACACTGGCGAGCGATGGTTTCTTGGCATTATTTAACTTACCCATTTCTTTGTGGGTGCTTTTATAACTTCAAGGTTTAAAAAAAAAAAAAAAAAATAGAAGAAGAAGTCTTTTCAGCCGGTGAAAGCCTAAGGGTGAGATTTTAAAAAAAAAGGGACTTTGTAAATAATTTTTTTTTTTTATTTTTTTTTTTAAGGCGATGTAAACAGTGGTGTAACAAAATTCGTGTAGCATCTGTGCAGCCAAAACCTAGGCCACCCTATTAATTCATGGGGATTCATATTGAAGGCATAGACTTGCACGCATGGGCGCCCGCAGAAAACTTTCGGGGGGGGGGGGGGGGGG